ATCCCATATATTTGAAATAGCTATGAAGTTAGGGACATAAATTACCCAAAACTCCTTTTCTTCACCTGGAGAGCAATCTTGCATGTTAACACTGAGTTTTATTGCTGCTATTTCTAATATTTGCTACCTATAATAGTAGTGAGCAGAAAACATCTTTGAACAGTAAATTCAATGATTTTGAAAATATACAGTTTTATTTTTCATTATAGAAAAGGTAGTTTAGAATAGTACTCACACTTAGAGTTCACATACTGGTGTAAATCTCAAAACTGATGTTTACTGTTTTGTAATAAGAAAAGAGGCAAAATTGAAGTAAGGGCTTAGACATTATCATGGCATTTTATCTGCGGCATCTGAGATATGACTCCTCTCATAGGTCAATATTTGTGTCCTATACTCATTGGATAAGGAACAACTCAGTCTGAGTTTTAACAATCCTTTTATAGGATAAGTTGGTAGATCTGGCTATAAACAAAAAACTCAAGATGAATCTTGAAAATATATAATATGTCTCATTTTGTATAGAAGATAAAAGTGAATATTCTGAGTTTGTCAAAATCATTTTTAAATCTCAAATTTCATTCCCATCAATATTTCTCTGTGAGACTGATTTCTATATTTGAGGGTTATTAAAACAGAAACCATTCAGAAACCCATAATCCTTTGCAAGTTGTATTCTTTTCAATCCAACCTTGGTTAGACAATTTACAAAGTAAGAAGCAATTTTACTTATTGCACTAAAATCCTTAAAATATAGTATGAAAAAATATATTGTTAGTTATAGTTTCATGTACAGACTACAACTTGTGTTGTCAAGTACCAGCAGTAGAAATTTCCATATGTCTAACCTAAATGAAGTTGTTCACATTCTATTGTAGGTACAATTGGATAAAGGTCACAGCAGACAAAATAATCTTCTAAAAATATAACTTGGTTGTTCCACTTATTTTCTGGCTTAAAACTCTCTTACAACTTCTTGTAACATTTAGAATAATATTCACACTCCTTTTCATCACATGTAAGATCCCAGGTGTTCTGAACCCAGTCTCTGTCTCTGACTTTGTCTTACCTTTAGTACACCCAACCATATCAGTCATATCTGTGTTCCTTGAATGTGCCAAGCGTGTGCTCACCTCATCCATCACCTTTTATTTGATGTTCCTTTTACTGAAGATCCTGTGCTCAAATCTTTCCACAGCTGGCTTTATCTAATTCTTTGAGATTTCAGATTAGTATTGCATTCTAGAGAGGCTTTCCTTCTGTCATTTATCAAGTGATTATTTTGTCAATTGAATGACACCTATCACTATCTGAAATTATCTTGGTTATTGGTTTGATTATTGTGCCTCTTTTTTTCATTAGAATATGAAGGTGATAAATGAGAGGACCTTGTATCTCTTGTTTATGTCTGTTATTATCAAATTTGTTATTTTGGGAAAGATCCTAAAATATAACAAATGTCGGGGGAAGAGCCATTTTATTTTCACTAACACTGAGTCACTTCATTTGGAAATTATGGGAAAACTTGAGAAGATATCTCACTAAAGAGCAGTGCATGTCAGTGGAGGATTTTTGTCGCTATAAAAGCATTCACCTATGGAAATAAAATCTATCTCATTTGATAGATAAACTCCATTTCTGATGCCATATGTAATCATTTTCCCCTCCAAATTCCTAAGCACCCTTTCAATAAACTCATTAATCCATAGTTTTTAGAGAAGTCCAGTGTATTTTCATACATTTTTTTCATCATTTTTCCTGAAAAATCAAGTGTTTGTTATAGAATACAATGTTTTTACGGGGGATCCATAGATGCCCTGAAATTGGATATGAACTGTGATATATATTAATTTTATTTAAGGAAAATATAGTGATCATCAGATTCTAAGTGGAATCATGATTCCTAAAATACTAATAGCTTCTTTTACATGAATTCCAGAAAACATTAGCAGGAAAAGCTCAGAAACAGTCTGCATATATTGGCACCAATTTATAATAAGCTAAAGATGAAGGTATAAACTTACAAAAATACTTATTTTTATGTACCTATTTTTGACTACATTTTGAATTAAATTCCCCACCATGAATGTAGGGATATTGAGAAGGTAAGTTAATAGTAGGCTCTCTGAAGATGAGATACACTTTGAAGCTAATTATTTTGCTCAGCAATACAACTGATAAAATTTACTGCATTTATTACAGTTATAGCAAAAGGCATCAACTAGAACCACATGGGATAATTTCCTTGCTATGTGAATATTTTCCCTGATAAGGGTTTTAGTAGCCCTATTCATGACTAAGAGCTGAAATCCATTATATATGACTTTCAGTCTGCACTGATTCTGATCAAATGGTCTACTTGAACTTTGATTTTTAAAACTTAGGGCCTAGAAATAGTAGTAAGATTTATTTCTGTATGTCCACTATTTCACTTCTAATGTGGGAATAATTAAATGGATTTAGATATAGATTTCATTCTAATTTAGTTTGGAACCCGAGATACTTTACCTCATGTCATTTATAAATATTCCATTTTTTATGTTATTGAAAATATCACATCACAATTTCTGTTGCCTCATTTTAACCTTTGTAATAAAAATAATAAAGACATTATTTTTGGAAAATCTGCTTTGAATGTATAATGTTCATGTTGCACCTACAGCACGCTAGATAAGCTGGCAGTCAATGCCTTTAATAGTGTATTCTTAGATGGATGACTACATAAGCATATACTTTGCTATTTTAGTATCTTTAAATATACATAAGGCATACATACATATGCTGTATTTTTTCAAAGATATTTACCTAAGTTGTTGAGGTCACTATGAACTCAAAAGTTGATATTATACTATAAATTGTTTGGTGAATACTGTTCTAGAGTTCTAGAACTTTTCTATTTTCATTTTCTATTGCTTAATGAAGACCTTGACTTCAAGCAGTGTAGGGTGGACCCATGTATGATTAATATATGAAGAACTCAATGAAAAATTTTAAGAATTTCTAATTTCAATGTAGTTAGAATAATATAATTTTCGTAAGTGTAGCATTGCTAAATTTTATATTCATTCTATTCAGGATATTAATATTTTAAAAAAGAAGCTTCTCCAAAACTATAGGAAAAGCTTTGAGCTTTTTTGACTCTACTCTGGTTTCTCCCATAGTCCCTTTAAACCAAATGAAGCAATTGAGAAATACATAAGCTAAAACCATTACATTCCTTGCTGGCACACACACACAAAAATCTCCCACCATGTCAAGCACTTGTTATGTTGTGAATCACAGAAGAGAACAATAAGAACTACAAAGAGGTATTTCTGACCACTGATGCTTGCTTTCTTATCTATTTTTATGTTGGAGCTTGATCTACACATAAAATATCAGCAAGAGCTAGTGCTGTTCTCTGATCAAGAAGAGTATTATTTACAGAGTATAGCCCGACTCACAAATTAATAATGAACTTTATATCTTTTCTATGGTTCTCAAAGTTCCCCTGTCAATTCTACTTCCATACTGTTATAATTTGTACTGCTTATAAACTCTTTGGGGGTTTATATCCTTCATTTTAAAATATAATTTTTAATTGCATAGTGTTCTACAATAAGTATGGTTCATTTTTATTATCAGAAAAAATTAACAGTTGAAGTTATTTATTTTTAGAAAGTGCTCTGTGTGGAAGACAGCATAGTCAGCACTGAGGAATGGAGTGAAGTGATTGAGAGTATTGGTTTGGGAATCAGATTATTTGAATTTGCAGATCTGAACTAAACTACCAAGTGATCTCTGTGAAACATTCACAGATTCTCTGTACCTTAGTTTCCTCAACTAAAAATGAGCATAACAATAACTCCTACCTCAAAAATTGTAATGATAATTAATCAAATAATTACATGACCAGTAATTTGCCCTTGCACATAGCATACACTCAATAAATTTAATTTAATGGACATTGTACTATATCTGTTGTAACACATGTAGTCCATATGGGAGCTTTCCCCCCCTTTTTTTTTAGTTGTTGATGGTCTTTTATTTATTTATCTATATGTGGTACTGAAAATAGAACCCAGTGTTTCACACATGCAAGGGAAGCACTGTACCATTGAGCTACAACCCCAGACCCTGAGGATTTTTAATAGGAAAATATTTAGTAACTTATTTTTGGTAGGCTAAATAGACTCAGATATTGAAAATATCAGAAAAGGCTGCCTTTCATAATATTCATAATTCTTTGGTCTTTGCATAGGAGGTTGCCATCAAGAATCTGTTTAGATTCTACAGAGCTCTTCAGAGCAAGAACTTTTTGGAGATTCTTTCTTAAAATAATTTGGCAGTGATCCTATTAATGTAATAATAGCTTGGGTCAATAATTTACATCATATAAATTTAAGTCACTTTTTCTAACCACACTGTCTTTACTTGAGTTCATTCACTTTGGGGAGAAATCCTTTTCTGTTACATTTTCACGTCATTGATAACAAGCAAATGATGAAGCACAAATGATCTTGGACTTGAGAAAGTATGTCCTGAGGAAGAGGTTTTCTATTTGTTTGTTTGTGTGTTTGTTTTTAGCAGTCGGTAGGGTGAATTGACCTCCCAAACTTTTCATATTTCTCATTACCAAGCAGCTCTATAGAGCTGTTTCATCTGTTGAGGACAACATAAGCAGTTTAAGAATGAGTTCCTGTCTATAGCTAGTCTTTATTTTTAAGAACAAGTGGTAAAAGATTTGCTAATTCTTTTATGACTTATAACCTACCAAAGGCATACCTTTTCAGTCACGCAGGGTCACAATTTTATTTTCTATGAGGAGGAATATTAAGTATACTGTAACAATATTAAATTTTTGTAACTTTTTAGATCACTGTTATAGCATTAGGCAGCCATTAAGGCTGGAGCTAGTTCACAGCAGTTATTGATCATTGCCTAAACTTATCTGTCGTCTCACACAAGGTTTATATTTATGGAATACTTACTGTAGACTAGGCATGGTAACAAAGCATGGATGAAATGAAGTAATACTTTAATGAGTTGAAAGTCTTTAACAGAGAAGTTATAATACAATGTAATAAAGATTTTGATGATGGAGATACAAATAAATAGTCATAAGTCCTCAATAAGGAATGTCCTCAGAGATAGAATTTTGCCAAAGTTAAAAGCAAGAAAGGACTCTGGAGGAGGAAAGAACATTAAGCAAATGTGTGTAGAGCTTCTATAGGGTGTCACCTGCTGGGATATATAACAGAAGAAGGAAAGGCAACTCAAACCACAGAGCAGCAGTTCAATGGGTAGAATTTTTGCATCTTTGTGTGTCATGTTAAAGTCTAAAGATGTTCCAGTCAACCTACGAGTTAAGTAGAGAAGCAAAAGCTCTTAACTAGAGGTATGACATGATCAGATGTTAAAAAGAAAACTTAAGTAAAATTCTAGAAGTAGAGGGTAGACAATAACATAAAATCCCCCACTTAAAAAAGAATCTCTAGATCTCATTAGCTCTAAAATTTTCTCTCTCAGGTTTAGAAAAATGGGGAGCTTCAGTCATTGTTGAAGAAACAAACTGTTTCTTTTCTTAATTCTCTTAAGGATAATCAGTCCTCAGAATAAATGGCATAAATAACTTATAGGAGGAAAGATTTATTTTGGCTCAGGGTTTCAGAGTTTCATGGTCAACTGGCTCCATTGCTCTGGGCCTGAGTTGAGGCAGAACATCATGGTGGAAAGGCACGGCAAAGGAAAGCTGCTCAGCTCAAGTCATCTGTGGAGAGAGAGAAAGAGAAGGAGAGAGAGAAAGAAAATGTAACTGGAGAGGCTGGGGAGAAGAAATACTCTTCCATGGCATGCCTGTTGTGATCTACTTCATTATTCAATCACGTCTCACCTCTTATAATTCCCACTGCTTACTAGTAGTCCATTCAGCTATCCATGAATTAATCTATTGATAAGGTCAGAGCATTTATGATCCAGTAACTTCCCCTAACTCTACCTCTGAACATTGCTATACTGGGGACCAAGCCTTCAATACTTGAATCTGGGAAGGATACTTCATATTCAATCCATAACAGTATCCATGGGTTTTACACCATGGATTTGACCAATTGCAGATCAAAAATACTCTGAAAAAAAAGGTATGCTTTTAGGTACTGTAAGTAATCAAGAGGTGATATACATCACACAAGAGGATATAGTAGGTTTTATGCAAATATTCGAACATTTTATACAAGGTACTTGAACATCTTCAGATTTTGATCCTGGAACCAGTTCCCATATGGGTACTAAGCATCAACTGTAGGAATAAATAATATATAATAAATATATTAATTTAAAGATGGAAGGAACTTAGAGATCCTTAGAGATCCTGTGGCTTATTTTCATTGAGTCCTACTTGAGGAAACAGAATCAAGCCACTTATCTGACTAAGGAACCAGAACTAAAACCCGGTCTTCAGTGTTTTCTCCTGCCCTTCTCTGGTAGTTTGTTGAGGTTTTTGAGAGCAGGTCAAATTGAGAACACTGCTCAGCTCACCTGCATCTTGTGTACAACAGAAGATTTCATTAGGACAAATGGAGAGTTAAATGGATTCTGATATTCCTGGAGGGAAAGAAGAGAATAAAGTTTTATTTGATTTTGACTTGATTTATTCTCCATACCATCTTCAGCATGAAAGTGTTTTGTTTGACAATGGACTCACATTGTAAAGGCTAACTTTATACACAGTCATACTGGTGAGGAAACATTGTATGTATTAATAAAAATGAAGTTACAATTTGTAGCCATCTGTTCCATTTTATATGACTATGAAGATCATTTTTCTTTCCTATATTTTCTTTACACACTGTCTGTTATAAAATAGTGGATCCCAAGCTGCTACTCTTCAGAATTTTGTAATATATATTGATTCTAGAAAGTTGAAATAATTTAATGTATATTAGTAAATAGATTTGGCTAATTTCCAAAATGTCTATTTTGAACATTAAATAATTTTTAGCATTTTCCCAGAAAAATAAATTCTTGAAGTCATCTATTATAGTAATTTAATAAGTTGGCCTTTTTAATACTATTTAATTTGAGCTTTATATATTTGTTGGTAGAGAAGGCAGTTTGGGAATATATGTTATTTTAGCCAAAAAAATTCAGAGAAAGAAATGTTCTTGGCTATCTTCTGATTCAAAGAAGGATATATTTCTAATGTCAAATAGAATCTTCAACATAAAATCTTTCAAATAATCTTAGAGAGAATTTTATGCATTTGGAAATTAAGTTTTATTTGGAGAAAGAGGACCAGCATTGAATCCACTAAAGAATTAATATTTTAGTAAAGAGGACCAGAGTTAATTGTTTTACTGAGGAACCATGATTTTAAAAATTTTTTATGCTAATTTGTTATATATGACAGCAGAATGCATTACAATTCATATTACATATATAGAGCACATTTTTTCATATCTCTGCTTGTATATTAAGTATATTCACACCATTCATGTCATTTTCATACATGTACTTAGGGTAGTGATGTCCATCTCATTCCACCATCTTTTTTTTAACCCCTTTCCCCCTTCCCCACCTTCCTCCCCTTTGCCCTATCTAGAGTTTGTCTAATCTTCCCATGCTCCCACTCCCAACCCCACTATGAATCAGTCTCCTTATATCAGATAAAACATTTGGCATTTGGTTTATCGGGATTGGCTAAATTCACTTAGCATTATATTATCCGACTCCATCCATTTACCTAAAAATGCCATGATTTTATTCTCTTTTATTGCTGAGTAATATTCCATTGTGTATATGTACCATATTTTCTTTATCCATTTATATACTGAAGGACATCTAGGTTGGTTCCACAATTTAGCTATTGTGAATTATACTGCTATAAACACTGATGTGGCTGTGTCCCTGTAGTATGCTGTTTTTAAGTCCTTTGAGTATAGACCAAGGAATGAGAAGCTGAGTCAAATGGTGGTTCTATTCCCAGTTTTTCAATATATCTCTATACAGCTTTCTAGATTGGTTGCACCAATTTCCAGTCCCACCAACTATGTATGAGTGTGCCTTTTCCCCCACATCCTTGCTAAAACTTATTCTTAATAATTGCCATTCTGACTGGAGTGAGATGAAATCTTAGAGTAGTTTTGATTTGCATTTCTCTAATTGTTAGAGATATTGAACATTTTTTTTCATGTATTTGTTTATTGATTATGTATCACCTTCTGAGAAGGTGGCCCATTTATTGATTGGGTTATTTGTGTTTTTGGAGTTTAGCTTTTTGAGTTTAGCTTTATAAACCCTAGAGATTAGTACTTTATCTGATGTGCAAGTGGTAAAAATTTACTCCTATCCTGTAGGCTCTCTATTCACTTCACTTTTTAGTTTGAATCTATTGCATTTATTAATTATTTATTTTAATTCTTGCACTATAGATGTCTTGTTAAGGAAGTTGGGGCCTAATCCAACATGATGAAGATTTGGCCTACTTTTTCTTCTATTAGGCATGGTGTCTGGTTTAATTCCTAGGTCCTTGATCCACTTTGAGTTGAGTTTTGTACATGGTGAGAGATAGGGGCTTAATTTCATTTTGTTCCATGTGGATTTCCAGTTTGCCCAGCACTAATTTTTGGAGTCTATCTTTTCCCCAATGCATGTCCTTGGCACCTTTGTCTAATATAAGATTATTGTAGTTTTGTGGGTTAGTCTCTGTTGTCTTCTATTCTGTACCATTGGTCTACCAGTCTGTGTTGGTGCCAAAACCATGCTATTTTTGTTACTATTGCTCTGTAGTGTAGTTTAAGGTCTTTTATAGTGATGCTACGTTTCACTCTTCCTGCTAAGGATTGCTTTAGCTATTCTGAGTCTCTTATTTTTCCAGATGAATTTGATGATTGCTTTTTCTATTTCTATGAGGAATGTCATTGGGATTTTGATTGGAATTGCATTAAATCTGTATGATGCTTTTTGTAATATTGTCTTTGATAATATTAATTCTGCCTATCCAAGAACAAGGTAGATTTTTTCATCTTCTAAGGTCTTCTTTAATTTCTTCCTTTAGCATTCTGTAATTTTCATCATAGAGGTCTTTCACCTCTTTTGTTAAGTTGATTCCCAAGGGTTTTTTGTTTTGTTTGAGGCTATTGTGAATGGGGTAGTTTTTCTAGTTTCTCTTTTGGAGAATTTGTCACTGATGTACAGAAATGCCTTTGATTTATGGGTGTTGATTTTGTAACCTACTACTTTGCTGAATTCATTTGCTAGTTCTAGAAGTTTTCTGGTGGAATTGTTTGGGTATTAGTATATTAGTTATATAGTGCTAATTGAGTTCTTCTTTTCCTATCTATATCCCTTTAATTTCTTTAATCTGTCTAATTGCTCTGGCCAGTTTTTCAAGAACTATGTTAAATAGAAGTGGTGAAAGAGGGCATGCCTGTCTTGTTCTGGTTTCTAAAGGGAACACTTGTATTTTTTCTTCATTTAGAATGGCGTTGGCCTGGAGCTTAGCATATATAGCCTTTACAATGATGAGATATGTTCTCATTATCTTTAGTTTTTCTTGTGTTTTGAACATGAATTTGTGCTGTATTTTGTCAAGTGCTTTTTTTCTGCATTTATTGAGATGATCATATGGTTGTTATCTTTAAATCTATTGATGTGAAGAATTACATTTATTGATTTGCATATATTGAACCAACTTTGCATTCCTGGGATGAACATGACCTGATTATGGTGCACTATCTTTTTGATATGTTTTTGTATTTGATTTGCTAGAATTTTATTGAAATTTTTGCATCTATGTTCTTTAGAGATATTGGTCTGAAGTTTTCTTTCTTTGATGTGAATTTGCTTGATTTTGGAATGAGGGTGACATTGGCCTCATAGAGTGAGTTTGAAAGTGCTCCCTCTTTTTCTATTTACTGAAATAAATTGAAGAGTATTGGTATTAGTTCTTCTTTAAAGGTCTTGTAGAACTCGGCTGTATATCCATCTGCTCCCAGGATTTTCTTGATTTGTAGGTTTCTGATAGCATCTTCTAATTCATCTCTTGAAATCCATCGTTTAAATTGTGTATATGATCCTGATTCAGTTTGGGCAAATCATATGACTCTAAAAATTTGTTGTTGCCTTCAATATTTTCTATTTTGTTGGAGTATAAGTTTTCAAAATAATTTCTAATTATCATTTGTATTTCTGTAGTGTCTGCTGGGATATTTCCTTTTTAATCATATATGTTATTAATTTGAGTTTTCTCTCTCCTTCTCTTAATTAGCATGTTAAAGGTTTGTCAATTTTATTTATTTTTTTTAAAGAACCAGATTTTTGCTTTGTCAATTTTTTCAATCATTGCTTTGGTTTCAATTTCATTGATTTCAGCTCTGATTTTAGGGTTTATTTGTTCTTCTTTTCTAGGGTTTATTTGTTCTTCTTTTTTAGGGTTTATTTGTTCTTCTTTTTCTATCATTTATTTGTTGACTTTTTCTTTTTTTAAGGAATGAACTCCATGTAATGAAATTTCCTCTTAGAACTGCACTCATAGTGTCCCAGAAATTTGATACTTTGTATCTTGTGTTCTCATTCACCTCTAAGAAGTTTTTAATCTCCTCTTTGATGTCTTTTGCAACCCAGTGTTCATTCAGTAGCATGTTATTTAGGTGTTGGAGTACCTTTTAGTTTTTATTTTATCATTGAGTTCTAATTTCATTCCATTATGATCTGATTGAATGCAGGGTAGTATTTCTACTTTTTTTATGTTTGCTAAGAATTGCTTTGTGGCATAATATATGGTCTATTTTAGAGAAGAATCCATGGGCTGCTGAGAAGAAAGTTTATTCATTCATTGAGGGGGGTGAAATATATATATATATATATATATATATATGTCAGTTAAGTCTAAGTTATTGATTGTTCTGTAGTTTCTTTGTTCAGTTTTTGTTTGGATGATCTATCCACTGGTAAAAGAGGAGTTTTAAAGTCACCCAGAATTCTTTTGTTATGGTCTCTTTAACTCTTGAACTTGAGAAGAGTTTGTTTGATGAATGTAGATGCTCATTGTTTGGGGCATATAAATTTATTATCGTTATGTTATGTCTTGTTGATAAATGATTTTCTTAAGAAGTATGAAATGTTCTTCTTTATCCCTTTTCATTAACTTTGGCTTGAAGTCTACTTTATTTGATGAGGATGGAGAACACTGCTTCCTTCCATAGTCCATGAGAGTGGTATGATTTTTCCTAGCCTTTCACCTTCAGTCTGTGGATATCTTTTCCTAAGAGATGAGTCTCTTGGAGGCAGCATATAGTTGGGTCTTTTTTTAAATCCAATCTGCTAGTCTATGTCTTTTGATTGGTGAGTTTAGGCCATTAATATTCAGGGTTGTTATTGAGAAATGATTTATATTCCCAGCATTTTTTTTTTTTGGTATTTAACTTGACTTGTTTTCTCCTTTGACTAGTTTTTTCTTTAGTGTAATACCTCCATTTGCTGATTTTCATTTTTGTTTTTCAATTCCTCTTCATGGAATATTTTTGCTGAGGAAGTTCTGTAGTACAGGCTTTCAAGATGTAGATTCTTTTAACTTTTGTTTACCATGGAAGATTTTTATTTCA